AATATTTCTGGAGGGAATGCATGCATAGCTGGGTACATGAGACGGGTCAGAAATAATCTGATCCTTCAAATAACTAATGTTTTTTGTTTTTTTGAGTGTGTATTTTCAGAGGAGATACTTAAGAACACTTACTGCCTTAAGCATATAAACAATACCAACAAACAGGTCAAAGACTTCTCCGTTTAATAAAGCACTTGCCATATGTAAAGTGGAGAGTTTTAACAACGCTAATGCACATGTGCTTTTCACAGATGGGTGTGAGTCAGCCTCTGGCGTTCAAGTGGAAAAACTCACTTATACAGTATGTTTATCAGTTTAGGAGTATAAATTATGCAAAAGTGTCCTCATTCTGTGGTTCAGGACTGAACAAGTGTTCTCTGAATAGTGAGAGGACCAGACCCCTGAGAGTTCAGAGGGGCTGCAGTTCTGGAGGGCTTTGACGCATCCATCAAAAAAACAAAAAACAGAGCAAACACAGAATAATAAAAAACTGCCAAGGGCATTACAAGATACGTTCGATTATAATATGCTGCATAATGTTATATATTTTAAATATTAAATATTCTCTGTTCTCAAAGTTTAACATGCTGAGACAACTTTAAGTAAGCTAATTAATGTTTGTTTTCCTGAGGAGTGTGGCTGTGGTGCTTTCAAAAGCTTGGTACATCAATTTCTCCTCAAAATATTGGATGAGAAAAACAATTTGTAGTACAAAAATAAAACAATGCAAATATTACAAAAAACATTAAAAAGTGTATAAATCACAAATTTTTCTAAAGAAACACTGTACAACACCAGCAGGTAAAGTAACCGCTCGAGTCCGCGTCTTTCTCAGCTCCCCTGAGCACATTGAGTTTTAACAGCGTGCATTGGATATGACTGGATGGTGTATATGAAATACTGTGACCAGAATTTACAGAGCTTTGGTAACTGATGATCCAAAAAAATCTGTTACAAATGTGGTTTCATGTTCAATTGATTTAATTTAGTATGCCTTTAGCTCAAACTGTAAAGCATGGCACTATCACGTTCGACTCCCAGGGAATGCATGAACTAATGAAATGTATACTTTGAACGCTTAAAAGCATATATGCCAAATCCATAAATGCAAAAATTAGCAAAGCAGTTGTGCTCCCAAAATTTTATCGTTTATTCAACATATCTCACCATCAGTATATTCCTGTTGTGTGTGGCAGCATTTTTCAAGCTCTCCTGACCATTCATTAATTCCTCCTTCCCCCATTTCTCTTTCTCTTCAAAAGGAAAGGTTCCCTGGTCTTCTTCAGGTATTTTTAAATCAAACAGTTTGTATCTGTCAGTGAGTTCAACATGTTAAGAGGTCCTGCATAGTATCTGTAACCAAGCCAAGAAAGACTAATTCTCCCTAAGACCCCTCACACTGACAGAAATAACACTCTGATCTCTTGGGAATAATTCAGATTCAAAATAAACCCCAACAAGCCTGCGGAGAAGTAAGATGACTTGAGAATGCTTTAAACGATTGTTTTGTAGAGGATGTGCATGTTGTCATGCTCGTTTTATCGCATTAGAGCACACTTGATCGCATCAAACACACGCACGCATAATGCAAACACATCCATGCACTGCACAAGTGGCAATACTGCTTCACATGAACGCTGACATTCACAGTCAGCTGTCTTCAAAAGGAAAGGTTCCCTGGTCTTCTTCAGGTATTTTTAAATCAAACAGTTTGTATCTGTCAGTGAGTTCAACATGTTAAGAGGTCCTGCACTGCTGTATAAAAACTGTTTCATTTTACTTACTTGACAATTTTGCAAGACATATTCAAATCAAAACATGTGTTTTTCACATCACACATCCTTCCATCCTAAGGCTAAAAAGACATTTTTTAGAACTAACAAGTTCAGACAGTGATCTCTTTTGTCCCTGTCAATCAAACTACCAGCTCAGAGAACGACGTCTGCATATTAAACTGCTGTACATTTCTGTTTAAAGTCAGTGTGATCACGTAGGCATAATGTATGTCATTTATATTACGTTTTATATTAATTGTCACTCGAATAATAATGTGACTGAAGAAAAAAAAAACATCTGCCAAAGAAAGCTAAAATAATATCTGCCACAATTAACTGAGACTGATTGTCAATAGACGTCAGGAAGCACAATTGTTTCCCTTTTGAATAAGAACAAAGATAGTGTACATATTTTAGGTACAAGCAGACACAAGAATCAGCAAAGGCTTTTAAATAGAATCTGTTTGTATTATGATTATGAATGTCACATCAAACTAGCTGTGCATTTAAGTGCGTTTATGAACTGGAATGCCCGCTTGGGTGCCTATAAACCAGGTTGAATGAGCTAAACTGGTTCTGTTGACCATATTAACAACACCACAAACGTATCACACCCAGCAGACGAAACTCACATCACAAGTAAATTGCTCTTGCCCATACAAATGCACAAACAAAAACACAGAAGAATACCCTGAAGGGGATGGTTAGGTAGAGTAATGGCCACTCAGGAAGCCATAACTATCACAATAAGGGTTGTATGTCACTGGAAAGGCATTTAATGTGATCCTACAAGGGAAAGAGCACAAGAACACACACACACATACATGAACAATGGCCATGGATGGCAATTCACGTCACTACACTAAAGCAGAGACATCTGTCAGCTGAGCTCCATCTCACTGCCCTTCCACCCATCATAATCTCCAACCAAAGGATGTTAAAACGTCATTTGTGAGCATGACAATCCCTGTTTGACCTCTCAGCACCAAATCAAGGGAAGTTTTACAGTCAAACAGTCTAAAATCACTCTGGAAAAGCATTTTATTTGGTTTTATAACAAAAAGCTTCAGAATTTTGGCCTACCGTGTTTGTATGGATCCAAAACTGATGGTTGTGTCAACAAAGACAAGATTTCTAAGCCATACTTGACTTTTACCTCATTTTAAAGAGATGTTGAATACACTGTCTAGTCTTATTTCGTTTTCTCAGGAGCCATTATGTCAATGCCAGCTGGACATTCCTGTGAGTTCTTCTTTCTAACAGGCTTCACTCTTCAACACACACGTACACATAATGGCATGCAAGTGCCATTCACTTGTTCATGTGCTTCTTACAGATTTTATTGGACCACAGAGTTGATACAGAGACGAGGTCCCACTTTATATTAGATGCCCAATAGCAAACTGTGAATCTTAATGTTTGTGAAATTGTTATGTAAAAAGTGTGTCATATATTGAATGTTAATATCTAAGAAATGGCCAGTGTGAAAGCAAAATCACAAATGAGATCTTTGTATCTCAGTTATTTCTCCTAGAAAGAAAGGAGATTACATGGAGAGCAAATGGAGACATTTGTTAAAGTCTAATTCATCTCAGATTTTTCTCCTGAAAGAATTCTTCTAGAGATTCTTAAATAAATAAATAAATAAATAAATAATTTAAATTATATAATAATTGTATAGATCATTACTCTTTTGCCATCTGTTGTCTCATTGGTAATTACAATGAAAACTATTAAAATCATTAAATTTAAACTGCTAAATTAAATAAAATTTGAATACATTATGAATTTGTTTTATTAGATTTTTTATTATGAAAATTAGAATAAAACAAGTTGAAGTACTACATTTATTAAATTGAACTAAAACTAAACAGAAATATAAAACAAACGTATAAAAAATACAAAAAATTAAGCTACTATTAACATGGAAACTGAAAATACAAAAAGCTCATTTAAAATATGAATAAATAAATACTATATTAATAGGTGACCCTGTCTGTGAAATCCAGGCTAAACTCTCAAAATCTAATTATGAGATAACAAGCATCAAATTTTGATTTCAACCATTAAGTTCACCATGATTTCAATCTTTGTCATGGCCTTACTCAGTCAATATTAAAGATATAAAGGTTATATTTTCACAGAATGTTCTACATCTTTATGAAGGATGATTTTATGTAGAAAACAGTCAATCACAAAAAAATTACTTTAGCTGGGTTTTCACATGCAGGGTCACATATATGAAAAAAATGAATTTATAGATATAAATGAATCCCGTCTAAGAACTTTAAAAAGAGCAACTAACAAGCAATGTAATTTCCCTCTTGGGAACTATCATTGCTAATTAAAATAATTACAGACAGAAAACTTTTATAGCACATCAACAGCTGTATTTAAGTAGTCTACAAAACAATATTATAATGAGTGTCACCTGTCCTGCCCCTTGATTGTGCTGTTATGTTGTCATTACATTATCTATAGCTGCCTGCTTGGATGATTACAATGACTGTAACACCATGTCACTATAATGGGGTACAGCATTCATCAGTAAATGGTTGAAAAACAAAACGGTTTTACTCTTAAATACATCAGAAGATCAGTTGCTGGATCATTAAGATGTATCACACATCTTCAGTCTTCAGACAGTTCCTATCGTTGCTAAGAGACAGGAAGCTGCTGTGATACCAAACACACTCATCATGTTTTGAATCATGAATTCAATATGAAGCCATCCAATTAAAATCTCAATGTTTTCCCCTGCGTGACTCGAATCAGTGCAAGCAAAGCACACCGATCACACACGTCACAGGAGACAGCTAACATACCCGTGTTTACACACACACTCACCTAGGCGCACATCATCTATGCATTTCTCAGCACACAAGCACTGCTGTTTTACATAAGTGCTGAAAGCCTAGCGGGTGTTTGTGATTATGTCCGTTCACTCGTGTGTGTGTGTGTGTGTGTGTGTGTGTGTGTGTGTGTGTGTGTGTGTGTGTGTGTGTGTGTGTGTTTGTGCATGCGTGTGTCAGAGATGCCCAGCTGACTGAAAGGGAGAGGCCAGACACTGCAGTAAATTATTCATCACAGACAGTCCTTCTCAAAGCTGCGTGAACGACAGCGTGATTAAACCCACGAGATGGATGGAGAGGTTAACGAAGAGAATGAAAGCACAAAGGAGAAAGAATGAAGGATAAGGAGGGAGCTCCCTGAAGCTGTACTCACGTGTGAGTTCTCGCAGCTGACAGAAACAGAGAGAAAAAGATACGGAGAGGTCTCAGCGAAGCATCCAAGCACAGCCCCGTCCAGCTTTACAGCCCCTCATCCCAAAGAAGAAGATACAGCGAGATTAAAAGAGCAAATCCAGAAAGCGGGAAAGACAAGTAGACAGGAGAGAAGCAGCAGCAGCAGCAGGGCGTGAGCAAGCGAGGGCCTATAATGTGTGTGTGAGAGAAGAGAGAGAGAGACTCTGATGAGGAAGGAAGGGAAGGGTAGATAGTGGAAGGGTATTGGCTGAAAGGAAGGGAGGTAGGGATGTGCTCAGCCAATGCTCTGAGTGAAGGTGCAAGGCAACAGGAAAATGGCAGAGAGAGAACACATCCTTTAGATACAGAGGAATCTCTCTTACTCTTTCTAAGGGTTCCCACTGTATCACATACACTGCAAAAAAACGTATTTTTGTCTTGCTTTCAAGTCAAACTATGTAAACAAGTCAATATGAATCTGAAATGTATTTTGTTAATGCATGTTTCTGATGTTACTGTTAATAATTATTTATAGTTTGTCTTTCAATATTAAATGAAAATGTAGTCACGCTTCCCTCTGAAACGACTTTCATCTTCTGCTGATGTCACTTGAGCCACACAGGCTATTGGATAATGATCACCAACAGCTGAATAGCTAATTAGATGTTGTTTTAACAAACTCACATTTGATCAGACTTCTGGAATGAAACAGTCAGCTCAGCTTTTACAATTAACTTTCAGATGGTACATTTCGCTTTGAAAGAGAGGTTACATAGGTTGTGAACAGCAAGTTTACATTAAAAACAAACTACTCTAGTCTTCGGGGTCATATGATCCTACAGAAATCATTTTAATATAGTGATTTGGTGCTCAAGAAGCATTTTTTAAGGATTTTTTGATGAATAGAAAGTTCAACAGAACAGCATTTTTATATATATATATATATATATATATATACATAGCTTGTAACATATAAATGTATTTACTGTCACTTTTGATCAATTGAATGCATCCCTGCTGAATAAAAGTATAAATTTTTTAACCCCAAACTTTTGAACAGTAGTGTACACTTATTATTGTACACTTTTTTCATATTTTTAGCATAACATATTTAAAAGCTTTTAACATATTTGTAACTTTTGTATGCTATTTTTGTAAATATTAATTTATGCATAAAAACTTCTAAACGGGTAATAAAATGAACTTAATCCAAATTAAATCCTCTAAAAAAATACAACAAATAATAATAATAATAAATGAGTTTTATTCTCAATGTAAATGTCTTTACGTAGGATTTTTAGATATTTTTACTGGAAAACAAGACAAAAATACTGATCAACATTTTTTTGTAGTGTACAGCACTACATACCCATAGAAAACACACACATGCACACACACACAAAGGATGTGTCACATGTTCGTGATCTCAAAGAGAAAGTCCTCAAAAAATCAAATCTGAGAGGCAAATGTACAAGAAAACCAATGACTCTCCTGTGTGATGAAATTGCAGATAGCATTGTTTTTCTGCGGGCACATGGGCATCCCAAGCCCATTTGTTTGGTTTCTCAGCACACTGTAATTCACAATCAGGGGAAATAAGGGGAAAAGAAGAGATAGCGGGGAATAACATGATAGGAGAAAAATCAAGGGGACAAGATAATGACTGTTTAACTGCATGAGAGCTAATGAAGATTAATGACTACAGAGGCAAAGAGAGAAAGATATTCACTACACAGGACATACAATAAGACACAGCAGAGCAGAATGGAAAAATAATAGTGCTGAAATTCCAGCTTGGGCAACATGAGTCACTTAAGTCACATCAGTCTTCCAAGACAAGCTAAAAATATCCTTTATGTCACCCTAAGGAGAAAAACACATGGTGGCATCTTGGACTACAAAGTCGCAACCTTTTGAATTAGTATCCTTGACATCTAGTGACAAATTGAGTTCAATTCATCACTAAGTACCAACCTAAGGGTTAGAATGGGCAGAGACAAACTGCTGGGGGCGTGGCTTAATCGATAAAAGCAACAACTGCATCTGTGCTAAAGGGGGTGGGCCGGGCTTGATCGCATTCCTTGATTTGATTGCATGAGAGAGCGATGTTACCATGGAGACTGCATCCAGTGCAGCAGAACCCAGATGGCAGACTGCCTCGTTCCCCCTCCTCCTCCTCATCCCTCTCTTTTTCTCTCTCTCTCTTTCCCCGGCAGCCTGGAGTAGATTCATACAGGAAGAGTACAGACCTGCAGGACCCATATTTTAAATTGCATGTGACTGCAACACAAAGCCAGCACTCAGCACTGTGTGAGAGTGTGTATTTGTGCTCTATTAGTGGTATGAAGGCAGACCTCTTCAGGAAGCCTGATGGTGGTGATGCCATCACATGTGATGCTGCAGATTCCCACGTTGTGGTTTGGAAAATAGACTCTCCAAAGAGCACTAAAGAAATACTCTGGGCAACACTGAAGTCTGCTCTTGTATATTATGATATGCACACTTTTATTCTTATGTCAAGTAGGGTGTTTCATCGATCATAAGTGCTTTTGGCCCTGTGGACTCGCTTTAAACTCACTTTTCACTTTTTTGTCTTTTGTCCTACATACATCTAAAAATGTTTATTTTTATGAATGAATTTCATTTTTACCATATCTCAGTTGATATATTGTGTTTGGTAGCATTCTGTGGTGGAAGTATATAAATACAATATAAATATTTATTTATTACAAAATTGTCTTTGTCTTGCTCAAGCCAGCTTCACAGCTTTCTAAATCCACAAAATTCATATTTTCACAGTTTTTGCATACTTCAATACTCAGATATGACACAAAATCAAAATATTCTGCTCATACATCATATTTATCTTGATTTTTCTTCATTTTAACACATTACATGTCTTAAAGGGGTCATATGATGCGATTTCAAGTTTTCCTTTCCCCCCTAAAACGCCTCGTTCTAACACGCCGCCACATGTCTACGTCACTATGTGGAAATATTAGCATAATGCCGCCCAAATGTGCACGCAAAGAAAGAAGGTGTGGTTTCAGGAACAGCAGTAGTGTTGATGCAGCCATGTCAGGGAGACGCTGTGTTTCAGTGCGAAATCAAAAGCACTTTATTTGGCCTTCCGAAAGTAGATGGATTTAGTACAAGGCTGGCTGTGCACAAAGGCTATTTCTAAAAAGCTTGCGATTATGGTAAGGGGCGTTACATTTCCAACTCATGCTTGTGGTGTTCGGCCAATCACAATGCACTGGGTCAGCTGGCCAATCAGAGCAGTCTGCGCTTGTCAAAATAGGGGGCTTTGTTGAAAACGACGTGTTTGAGAGAGGCGGGGCATAGAGGACCTACAATAATGTACAGTATTTGAAAAATAATGTGTTTTTTGAACATTAAAGCATGTCAACATATTCTGTTACACCAAATACACAAAATTATAATCTTTAAAATAGCATCATATGACCCCTTTAAATTTCAATTCAAGCTCTTCCATGACACTGTTGCTTCCAGGTTATCCAAGTATACTAACTTTCGAAGAAACTGGAAATTGTTGGTGGAAATGACAGCAATTTGCATAGGAATTAAAAAAAAATAATTTTCACACAAGAAATATAAAAACTCTTTGTGATTTCTGAATCATTAGATTATCAGTTTTAAATTAAATAATATTTTATGATGGATTTTCATGGTTTAAAATTGTGGTTAAGAAAGTACTAAGGTCTAAAATTAGGCACAATACGTAAAACAAAATATAAGTAAGAATAATCTGAAAGTAGAATAAATAAATGAAGAAGGCATAATACAATGTTTTCAAGTTTTATAACAAAAATAAAAAGTAAAAAAAAAATATATATATATATTTGCGGGGGAATTTTTACTTTACAAATTACAGACATGGCCGATTCGCACGGGATTAAGATCACAGACAACCTCCACAATTATTACAAATGACTGGAGGTCACCAGGTAATACTAATCCCGTGCGAACAGGGCTTTAGATAACAAACCTCTTGCATGTCTGATGTCTGTGATATGCAAGACAGCTACAAAATACAGCTAAAGATATGCATCAGCATTTACCGGGGTCTTTTATTATATTCAATATCCTCCTCATATATGCAAACAGGGAATTCCAGTGCTTAATTACTTAATAACTGACTGGTAAGAATGAACTTTATTAATCACTAGAGTTAAAAAGAGGTTTAACTCCCAGCTGCACTAATGACTGCATTGTACTGAGAATAAACCACAGGGATTAAAAACCATTTTACAGCTCAGTCTTAATCAACTAAGGAACAAAGTTCACCTACAACAGTCCTGTAGCACTTTACTTGCTCAGCAACATGTGTTGGTAGAGTATAACACTGGTATGATGAGAGCAAGTAATTCTTTCTCAATATCTCTTTCAAATCCTACACCCATTCGTTGTGATGCTTAAGGTTGAATGACATTGAATGTGAGTCATTTGGTCACCATTGTTTGTATGTCTCTGTTTTTAACTGTGTGGGAGGTCAAATACAGGTAATATCCAGCATTACTCATGACTCATGTAATAATCAGTGAATGACTTCACAGGGTCACATCCATTTTCACACTTTTCCGGCAAGCATGGACCCGGAAACAACTCTGTGAATGCCCAGCATTGTTCTGCTATCAGTTGAAACCTTACTCAGCTTCCTCCCATGCATGTCTATTGGACCATGAATTCATGCTGAGCCACAAACAGAAGTCATATCGAGAAAAGCAAATTGTGATTATCACAATTACAGATTTCAATACCAAAATACACAACACTTTATCCACTAGAGGGCTCATTTCAAACACAAAAAAAAACATCATCATAATGGAGTTAACCAACTTACCACAACATTGTGCTGCTTTCACTGATCAAGCTGAATTAAAGTGAGGCATGATTCCAACTGATCTATAAAGAAGGACAAAACATAGGCTAATTAAAATTAATAAATAAATCTTAAGACAGGACATGACAACACAACACACTGGGCTTTGAAAGTGAGTGGTTTACTAGCAGTTCCACGAGTATAAAAAGCGAAATAGTGAAAGGAGTTAACAACTTTTTGTTATTTAATTTTTTATTGTAGATAACAAAGTTCTCACATAAAAAAAAACGAGTTTCCCTGGCTAGTCTTATTACTGACGTCGACGTTTTCCACACGCAGTCAAACATA